ATATTACCAAATTTCGATTTGGCCTTGATTGATGTAATTTCTCTATTTGATAAAACACAGCTAAAAAAGTGATAAACGCATGCATACTGATAAGTTCGAATACGTCTATGCGGTGGCATCTGCGGCGCACCGAAAGCCGACATTTGACGCCGTGGTATCGTCCGTGTTCTCGCTACGTGCTTCACAACGGTAGCGAAAGCAATAAGATTTGTGACACATAAACGAACCGCCTTTTTTAACCCGATGTGTAGCACCCGGTGCCGCTTTAACCTGCTCTGCTTTGGCAGCTTTGGCCCTTGTGCCTTTGTCATGAATCGTCTGCCAAATATCCTCTGTCCATTCCCACACATTTCCTGCAAGCGAAGATAAAAAAGAAAATAATGTCGTTATTATTTACAGCTGTACAAGCAGATGGATGAGAGACAGCTGTAACATGCTAGAAGATAATTATTAAAACATGGAAAATTTTCTGACATACTCTCAACTAAGTTAAGGTGATTTTGCACACAGATTTAGTATTTAACATTATCATGGATTCCAGTCCGCTGTTGTTATTAAGTTTTTATTGTCAATTTATTTTAACTAGAATTACTAAAATTACTACAACTCATAAGTATTATAGTTATTTAGATTATTTAGAAAAATATTCCGGCGACTCTTTGTAACGGTCATTGCTGGAACGGCTTAGCCACTTTAGCTTCTTGCTCGGACTTTACTGAAATATTTTGAATATCTGCTTGAAAATCTGTTATAGAGTTTCATAATTTATTGAGAAGCTTGTTGTTTGGTTGAGACGTGCAGATATTCATATATTATCAAATATTATTATACGGAATATTATTGCAGATCTGTGTGGTTACCTATGATATTTTTAATGGGCAATCCCCTCATAGGTGCGTACGCGTCAACCGGAGCTGTTCCATCAAAGCCGTCGACGACTGTGTTCGTCTTGGGAAATACCCCTTGCCAAATGTTTGCTGATTTTTGCTCCTCTGCGGTTTCCTAGAGATATGAACAATTAGATAAGCCAATTTAAAACAACAAAAAAAAATGTAAACTTAAAAAAGACTATTAATTTGTGTACGATAAGTCAACTATGTAATTATAATAGCAACAAGGAAGAGCTCACAGTATCTGTGCGTAAATTATGATGCTATTTTCTGTTATAGAAGAAAAAAAGGTTTATATAAACCCTTCATACCTTCGTATCGTCCCAGGGAAAAGGTCTTCCGTCCAGTGCCTTCTTGCAGGCAAATTCCCATTCTGTTTCTGTAGGTAAGCGGCCACCTCTCCATAAACAGAATGTCCTGGCATCGTTCCAACTAACGTGCACTACTGGATAGTTCATTCGCGTCGATATATTAGATCCTATTAGAAACAGAATGTTACTGATCTTAAGTGTAATTTCGAAGCAATGACTTGTTGCACATTTCAGTTAAAAAACGGGACTAAAGATATATGTATATATATATATATATATATATATATATATATATATAAACACGTCCTTTGATAGTAGTAATTCGTTAGATTTGATATTTATAAAGCACAACAAACCGCTACATATTTGATTATCGTATGCTTTAAAAATAACAGAAATACATGCCTGGACCTTCGGGATATCTCCACGTTGTGTTCGTCACACTCCACCACCACGGGGCAATTTGCGCCGCTCCGCGCGCAGCAATTTCCTCCTTAACATGCATAGCAAATACGAAAGAATCTCCAAAAATTTCTGCTTCCGTCTGATATTGGGTCGCTTTTACGAATTCGTCGAACGCTGCGTTGGATACCTCTGCCTCATCCAGCCAGAATGACTTTACATGCTCCTGACGTCCCGGATGTTCCCCTTTAATAAAATAAACTAACAGTGTAAAATTATCTACAATTTTGGCTTATCGCATTGGGCTCAAGACTTCAGATGAATACTGTGCCAATTCTGCATAGAGGCGCACAGCTTAAATTTCATACTCCGAAATTCGTAAGTTTAATGTATTCAATACCACTGCTATATACCCCACTTTCCTAGAGAACATTATATATATATATATATATATATATATATATATATATTGTGTTTGTATTCGCTAAAGTACACTTATATAAAGAAAAATGGCGGATCATCAATCCCTATTAAGTAATGATTCTTACCATCCGCTTCTATAATAGGCGCGTCCGTCCCCATTATGAAGTCTCCACCCTCAATAAATAGCATCCCATTTCTCTTCACAGTGTTTTTTGCAGTAGAATCATTTTCAGGATATTTCAGGCAGTTCGTAGCTACGGAACATAAGCTTCTTTCATTTTGAGCGTTGTTGCTGCTGTCGCTGCTAAATCCCAGATCATCCCGTCCATCTCTGTTGTCCAGCTGTTCTTCTAAAAAGCAATGTTGTCAAACAGACCGAAATAATGTATTAGCAAAGTATTTGCCAACGTGTTTGTAAGCTCACTTTGAAAAAGTATTTAGCTGAGTTATCGTTTTTTTACTACTTCCTTCTTTTTTTTTAATTGTTGGTTTGTGTTCATGTTTCACTGCGTTGATTTACGCTTGCCTGAACTGAGCGGTGACTCCGAGAACGAGAAGCGGGAGGGTCGATTTTTGGAGCATCTACAGTCTCCGAACACCCTATCCAAACAGCCCAACAAACACACTAAGGAAACTTTAGAAACAAAGAAAGAAGCAAAACGCGAGATGATTGCTCGTTGCATTCTTAGATTTTCTACCTCTGAGAGTATATTCAAAGACATCCTCAGTGATTCGTGTCGAACGATAGCTGTTTGAATAGCTCCGCATAAAAACTCCAAATAGCACTCACAACGAAAGTAAACTATATAAGAAGCCTTCCACATTACGAAAATAAAACGAAATTAATGTATCGATAGAGCAAGAGATGTCAGTTTTTACACAGATGCCACTCTATATATAGCGTATATTTTTTTTTTACTCTAATAGTTTTATGGATATGCCGTGTTTTTGTGCGTAAGTAGCTACCCACTCGAAGTCTAAAACAACAAAACTATTTGTCTGCTTAATGGCTTAATATAGTATGTACACTGTCGTGCTCGCCTCTTCACGCTGTACTACCTAAATGTAATAACTAGATTTCAAATCCATTTTAATACAGATTATGTAATTTTTATCAGTAAAGCAATATAAGTGGGATACCGTACACGGATCCGTCACAAAATACCACAGTACACATCTTAATTCACATCCACGAATGCGAATCCTAACCATATTTGCTTATTACGCAGTCCACTTTCTATCAATCTTTTTTTAACCGCGCAAAATTGAGACACACCGACAAACTAAATATTCTTACTATACTACACACACTTCTATAATATTAATCACGGAAATAGAAATTTCACATACAAGCTACAAACACCAGTTGCATGTCGGTCTTCGTTTCTTTGCTGTCGCGATGTACTTGAAAAACAACAACAAGTGGTCAAACAGTGAGTGAACAACACTCTAATAATGGCCGTGTTTGGCCAAAGGTATTTCATTCCTCGTAAGTGCCGCAAACCAACTGTAGTAACACTGCGAACAGCGCATGATGCACTCAACATAAAAATGACTAGTTCTGAATATTTAACCACTCTATACGGAGTTACTGTGAGCAACTACATTCGTTGTATAGCGGGTGCTCGCCAAATGGTTCGCTATCAACCAGCTGTTGTAGTCACGTTTCATTAGAATTTCATGTAATCACCGGTTCATTAACAGAACGAGATTGTGGCTCTTGCTTAGGAGCCTCGGGAGCTCTGGAGCCGTATCGCTATTTGTATTTAGTTCTTTCAAAATAAAGGATATATATATATATATATATATATATGATCTTGTGACAGATTCGCTGAACCAATTTGCTAACGTCGATAAAATCAGGTGTAATATACGCTTGATGAAGTGCCTCGTGATAGAGGTGCCAACGAAGAATATGCTGCTATCCATCGCTGACGTTAGAAATTCCGAAAATATGGTATCAAGTGGTCGTTTCAGAATTTTAAAAAACTTAATGGATAGACAGTTCTACTTCATGTTGGTTGTAACGGAAACACGATTCTTAAAATTGAATATTTTGAAGCGTTTATTTTTTTAGTGAAGCTGCTATATTCAGTTGTACAAGTGGTAGTATTACGCGTATTACGCGGTATTACGCGTTATCTTGGGTCTTCCGTCCATAGCGACTTCGGATATTCATATCGCATCGATTTTTAGCTCACTGCAAATCAATCCTAACGAAACCGGTTGTTTCTTTGAGTACCGTAATGGTTCAAGTACTATACGCATCAATGACTAGATAAATGCAGAGCGAGTGTCTGTAAAGCGTTCCATCTTACCAGCGACAAAGTTGAGCCACTATTCTTTATTTTGGTGGCAGCAGTGGGATCGCTAGGGACACACTGGTAAGCCGACTCTCCGAGTGTTTCAATGATTAAGCGGCGCCGCCGTCGAAATATGCGTTCCGCGAGACCCGGCCGAAAAAGTGCAGACGCCCGGAATAAGATCGCGGATGGCCGGCCAACTACATGATACCAAAAGCGCAACCATACTTGCGAAAGGCGTTCCGTCTAGAGTGTGATTTGACTCTCGTACGTGGGACGCGGCTATATAAAACGGCTCAACGACCATTTAGTTCTTAAGGAAGCCAAGTTTCCTCACCGATTTTTCTTTTGTCGGTACAGGAAGAACGAGAAGATATCTGCACGGTTTGTGTTGCGAGCACTGCTAGGTAAGCTGGGGTCAAGTTTGAAATCAGGGTGTTCCTGGCTCACATCCGAAATATCGCAAAATCAGCTACTTCCACGCTTTACCAAAGCGACTAGAGTAAACTCTTATGCCAAGCTAGTTTGATACAACATGCCGGAGAAGGCCTATACTCGCTCCCAGAGGCTCATCCGGCCGGGAGAAAATACCAGTTGCTGTTTCTGTTTCGAGGGAAGGCATATCAACGCGCAGCGCGTAGGACTGGCATTGATGAAGGCCAGGAAAATCAGAGTAGCAGGCCTTAGATGCGTTGGCACTGCGAAGCTAGATGGCCATACTGCGAATCCGCCAACGTGTATGCTACGAATAATACCGCCTATAGTGCATAGCGCACTAAATAGGTAGTCTTTAGTGGGCGGCAGCGATATGGGTGATGCAGGAAAACGGAAGATTTACGGGTTCATTTTCATGAAAGGTACATTGAGTCATACCACTCCTAGGAAAGCACGGCCAGTCCTATTAGAATCAGCCGAGATCTTACAGTTTTCAACTTGTCAATAAGACTACGCGAACTAAAAACGGCCTTGATTTAGAAATCGATATTGTCAAAAATCGATCTCGAATGCATTAATGTAAATTATTTCATCGTATGTTAACGCTATTTGTTTGTCGTCTTTTATAGCAGCGTGAGATCACGAGTAACAGATGTTGACGACTACAAAAAAGAAATAGTCGAATATACAACAATTGAGTAGGATGTGATACAACATGTGGGGTACGACATGTGGGAATAGGATGTGATACAACACGTGGGAAATTAACCGTCGAACGGCTGACGGCAGGAATCCGCGTCATATCAGCATAGCTTCATTGTATGGACGGCATTATTCCTCAGAGCTAAACTGAAAGAAGACGAGTAACAACAAAGTCCTGTTTTTTTATATAGTGATTGCACTCTTTTTTACGACTTTATGTGATTTGGGCCATGCATATGGAGAAATCTATACAGCAAGAATAGGACTCGCGTAAACGTTCTTTTTGAGCCCACTGTCCGAATATATTTACCTTTCAACTGCATTTGAATTAACATCAACATATGCTTCTAAATAATGTTATTGTAATAATGTTATTCGGAAGTTAAATGTTGAGCGTATGCTGAGAGAGGACCGTTGTTAGTCCAACATCAAAACATATGTACCACTAAATACTGAGTGCGACCGACTCCCGGCTCTGTATTCATACCAGAAGATCTACAACGATAGGACATGTCAAGTATCCTTTTCGTTAGTGGAACGCGACGATCGTATGTTATGGTCAATGAAATGGTGAACCTTGTATTAATACCAGTCGGCTATATGAAACTGTAGAATGTATCAGGCGGGAAGCCTGTCGCGGTATATGCTGTCTCAGGGCGTGCGAATGATTTCGAGCCTTCATTGTCCCGGTAGCTACTGTGGAAGAATTCGATTAGGCGACTCTGGAAACTTCAGCGCGTGCGGGGTACGTGCCAGTTCGAATATCCGTTTGTAATTGTATAAAGTGGCTCCGTAGTTCATTAGGCTAATGACTGCAATTATACAGCGCTAATAAGAAAAATGATTGCATTTGTCTTATACATGATTCATAAAACAGTGACATTAAATGACTTTCAACTATGAACTACTTGCAATTAGCAGGCCAGCCAACAAATTAACTTATACGTACTGGTATTAGGACTGTTAAGGTCTGCTCTCACCAAGTAAATTAGATGTAGACATGTGATTGCATAATAATACATAAATGGTCCAAATATCTTAACTGAAGCCAAATTATTCATAGAACGTGACTTAGGAACTTATTAATCCTCTACTGCAATGTACACCTAAGGCTTGGATTGCATTCGTTTCCTTATATTACCCTCTTGCATGGATCTTTGCAAAAATACCTTATTTCTGAAAATCGGAGCAAATTGTGTATCTAAGAGATAAACGTATTCTCAACAAGCGAAAGTGTCGTGTCCACAAGATGTTAATTTCATACAATAATGAATTGTGCTTATTCCCCTTTGACATCAAAATAAACATCTTGAGGAGCAAACAACTTATCTTTAGTGATTGGATATATATTTAAAGGGTTAATGCTATAAGAGACTACAGATTCCATGGGCATGTCTCAGCTTACGAACTACCCGACGCGGTTCTCTCTAGACTTATCTAGGACTTCTCAAAGAGGCCTGTAAAACAGATCGGCTCGACCCTCTAGTGGGAGTAAGCTAAGTTGTTATATCTATTGGCAGTATTAAGCCTCCCATAGTTAGTCTCCTGTATACTCACTTGTAGACTGGCGTTGGCTATTGCTGTAACCTCTAACATATTTTAAGCAATGCATAGTTTTTGAAGGATACCTATGAGTGAAAAAAGTTTTCCAACAATAATGAATCCCACATATAGGCGTGTCCACGGGGATTTCGTGTCGAAGTTTCTGTTTGCGAAGAGTGTTCATCGAGTCCAAACGTGTATGACTGGCTGTATCTTGGATTTGTCGTTCTATTGGGCCTCGATGTACAATGGTGGATCATCGATCGGTCTAGAAGAATGTAAGTAATGTATTCTCAATTTCTTATTGAGCATATTACACACAGTGTAATAAGTAGTAGCAATTCTTTCAAACACGTGTATCAGGTCAGCGCTAGATAACTGTTGCTCTTTTTTAACGTTGCCTTGCCGGTGATCCTTTTCTGCAGTTTGGGTCATCGCGCTTTCACTCTACAACTTTGCTCACTGCTGGAAAATGTTTTGAGTGCGTTGCTGTCTCTGACGTCATTCGCGCCTTGGGGTTCCCTTCAGCTGGTAACGTGTAAAGTAGATAAGTTGTCGGATTGGTACACGTTGCTGCACAACCCCTCGCCCTACTATAAGCAGACACTGCACTGTTCTCAGGAAGCCGTCTATCCACTGTAGGTACAACTAGGCATGAACATGCTGTATTCTATACTAGGAGTTAGTCTCTGAGCGTTAGTACCGAGCGTAAAGCTACTGCACATTTGTTTGTTCAGATACCAATAGGGTTACAAGCATCTGTAGTCGAATCAATACTCTAATAATGGCACTATTTTTGGCTTCAAGAAGCTTTAAAGAGAAAGCTTGGTATCAGTTTGAAAAATAAATCAAACAGGGCAAATAGTCAGAAACAATAAGAATGGTGAAATATGCTACGGTAGGAACTTTTTAGGAGTCGCACTGTAAATTACAATTAGAAAAAGTGAGTTTATACAAACAAAGAAAGTTAAATTTATCTATTTATTGCTGTCTAGAATAATATATATATTTGGACTGATCCATCACGTTTTAAGCCAATATATTGTGCTGTGGTCCAACAAGGTTTATTACCGATTTATCGGAAAGTATGAAACGCGGTTGCAGAAGTGAAAAGTATTTTTGACTCACTGACTTCTAATGTCATTATAGATACTCTATTGTCTTCGTCTATCTGGGATACAGCCTAGTGTTGATGATTTTGTTACGTGGGCTACTTATTCAACGTCTACAATGGAGTAAAGAGGAAGCCAGGAAAACTGTCCACTTAACTCTTTACGCCATTCCGCTAATGGCGCTCTGTCACGCCGTGCTCGCCGGCCTACTTTGTAAGAAAGTTTTTGTAAAACTTAGCAACAACGTAACCTGCAATTAATTACTTCCTAGTTTCATCGTTTTGTTCAGTAACTGTTATCATTTTTTCCAAGCAAAAACATTTTACCGCATCTCTAACAAATTGATCTCTACTTAATTAGATAATTTCAAGTTATGTGGGTTCTTCTGCGAACCCGTTGCAGGACTTTACGCTAAATTATGTGCTCTTTTATCTGCAGACTATTCGTTCCCGTACCTTGTCATGATCGTCTCGGTGGTATCGATTGCGTCCCACCTTGCCGGACGTCAACACCAGTCGGTTACTGCTCTCCGGCAGCAGTCTCTAGAGCCACGAAACTTACTAATCATTTTATCGCATTGGCTTGTGCATGCGTATGGCCTAGTTGCTGCAACCGTCCAAGAGCACAAGCTGGACGCGTTCTGGACGCTGCTTCTTGCACCACTGCCGACATTGTTCTATATATTCACAGCTCGTTTCACGGATCCGGAAAGACTAAATATGTACTAAATAAGCTGGGTTAGCTGTTGTGGGTAGGCGGCGAAGATTCGTGAGAAAGAGGATATGTAACAAGGCTTCTTACGAGGACCGCGCGAGAGGTTGGAAGGAACAGGGCAGCGGTCCAACAACCAACTGATCGGAGATTAACTCTTATTAAAAGTTATTGTGTTACGGTTATACATCTTTTGAAAAACTGTGTACAAAACTCTTAGCGAGTTTTGTCGTAATTGACGCGAAAACACAGAGGAATATGAGATTAATAATATCTAATGAAGGGCCATAGGTTATGAATTATACCGTGTGGTTTTAGCACTACTAGTAGTAAAGTCAATGTAATCTCCGAAATATTTTCTAGCGGTAAAATCTTAAACAAGCACAATTCTTCATGGTTACCTTGTTTTTCTCTGAAGAGTTTCAATTGATAACAAAGATGCAACGAAAGGCCAAAAACCCTGATGAGATGTATTTACGTGGATATCTATTTCTGTACATATCTTGTTTATATGATATTAATGTATCATAGCACTCTAGCTAGATCGTAATTGTTATCTACACAGATGTAGCTAAGCGAATGGAGTAGAAAAAAATAAATATGTATGTGAAAAACGTAATTTAGTAAGGAAAAATGCAGTGAATTGTTGCAAAATGCTTGAAATAGAGAAGTCAAGGAAAACACATGTGAATACGATGTGCTCATCTAGTCGCGTATATAGCTTATATTATGTACCCTTTTATTTTTATACGGTTTGTTTCTGCCTTTTGCCGCCCTCAAAGTGGGAGCATTGGAGAAAGCCGCGTTTATTAACATGAGCACTCGAATAAAGGGAGAGGTCCAAGAAAATTTATACGAGACGCGTTTCCGCACGAACCAATCATGTGACGCAATTAAATCCATATAATTTCCGGTTATCGAATAGTTTACCTTAGTATTTCTGACAATAACCGTAGATAGCATAAAAAATGCGAGGCATGCTAATGGATGTTAAACAACGCACTTTGTGAAATTAACACTTTTGATTCCAAGTATAATATATGGGGTTAGAAACTATTTGATCAAATGAAGCCACTTGAAAATATCCTTGTTATCATTATTATTATCAGATATTTATAACTATCATAATGACTGCGGTTTTTCTTAATGAATCTTCCGATGATTAAGATAAGTAATCATCGTCTGATTGACAATCGCGTACCTAACAATTAATTTGTTAGTCGATTTCTTCGCCTTCCACTTCTGCCCGTTTGCAGGGAAGATACATAATATTTTAATTAGTGTTGTTTTTTGCTGTATTCTACCGTACATCATCTATGTAGGTATTATATATGAACACACTGCTGTCGACTTTTCGCTTCGTAGCCCCCTTCATTACTGTAGACCGATATTTGCCACTTGGTTTACAATATCTAGGAGTCATACAATAGTATTATTAATAAACCATAGAGTGGAAATATTGTGCCTTTTGTCATTTTGTTCTATTGACTGTATGTTTTGACGGTTCACCTGCTGTCTCCGTTGTTTTATTGACAAAATGGCTGCTTTGCCGGGTGATTCTGCGCCGCTATTGGTCTGTGATCGCCTCACATTCGCGCATTGGCAGCGGTTAATTTCGAGGTGTTCGACAGATAAGGCTAAACCCCATACTTCATGTTAACTGACTTCGATAGAGAAGTTAAACTACATTTCATCGAGCAGGTGTGCGATCGTTAACCTTTCTTTTTACAGTTATATATCGCTGCTTATATGCGGTAAAAATTTGCTTTGCTGAAATTAAGTTTGCTGAAATTTGGTTCATGCGGTATACAAAGCCCTTACCTAAAATATCTCTTATTGGGCTTTGCTCACCAACTCAAGTTTTGCATTAGAAAATATTTTCCACATACCACTGAAAAATGTACTCAATTTTTAATATCACTCTACGCCATTAACGTGTCGATTAAGTGATGCCAGTAACCCGCTGATTTATAAAGAACATAGAACGACCTATAATTCACCCTTAAGTTGGGTGAAACAAATCTAGAGCGATGAATCTCTTTTCTCGCTACCAAAAGCACTGATCACAAATGCGCATGCGCCAACCGGCAAACTGTTCAACAACAGGAACCTGCATTTATTAAAATACAACACCGTCATTCGGAGATCAATTACAAAAACTCAGAAACGACGGAGGCCTGCCGTTGATGTTCCAACTGGCCTATTATCCTCAACTACGCCATAATTACTTGCGATTTACCGACACATATAGCTGACAGGCGGGGGGGCAGAGTTTTTTCTTTTTCTTTGCATCTCCTCAAAGAAGTCCTGGATGTCCCTTGCCGTGATAACCTTATTTTGGCTCGCCTGTTCTCGTAGGAACTCGGTCAAGCAACTCTTTAAATTGTTGTACCCTGTTACAGCACATACGAAGGATAACAATGATTAAATGTTAGATTCAATAGGCACGCCCAAATTGTTTGTCAGTTAGCAAACTGATACATGTTCTTTCGTATTGAAAACATGTAATTCATGAGTCGATCTTTTTACTCTTTTGAAACTGACTCTACCACAAATATAAACACATGAATTACTATTGCTAGTAACTATTTCCCATTGTCATTAGATTTACATCGTGTAATGCAAATGTGAGCGTGATCGTCTTTTGCAGAGTTCTTTCTTATGTAAGTGACAATATCCGGGTAGGTTTCAGATTTAATGCGTTATAGTTATATAAATGTTTACGCACCATCGATAAGGTCAATCTTGACGCCATGGTCCATCTTATTAAGAGCACTCATTAACGGATCCTCTTGAGGACCATCTTCTCTACGCTTGCGAAGACCGCGGTCTTCATAAGCTCCCACGGTGTCATCAGCTCGTGCCAAAAATGACAACTTTTCTTTGATATATATTTTATTACAATCACCGCAAGTGCACAAAAGGGACCGCCATGATTTGGGCCACGTAGCCCCTGACGTTGGAATTGGTTCAACTATAGGCAACTTGGCGAAGGTGCATGACGCTGGTGTTTTCTAAAAGTAAAGAAACACGAAAAGACAATATTCTGAAATAAGAAAATAGTATAACTGCAAAAGTTATTTTTCAAATGAAACTAAATCCGGTGATACAAAATACGAGTACGTGCGAACTATTCTGGCCAAGTTCATCGTACCTCTGACGTGTTGGATTCGTTTGCGGTTTCGCCTTGCCCATCTTCAAGTCGTGGTCTCTTGGGGTTTGGCTCAGAGTTGTCTTCGACCGTTGTCACGTCTACCTTCACGTCCACCTCCTTGTCTTTGGCCAACTTGTTATACTTCCAAAGAAACGCATGTGCTTTCATGCAGTCGTCACAAATCAACTCTTCAAAATCGTCTGAATTAGCCGATGCCAGCCCGATATGACTCAAATGGAACCTACAAAATTTACAAGACACTTGATTATCGCGAACGCAGGGCAGTACTAGACGTATTTTTTTTGCAATTTACGAACATCACTAAGGAACCCAGCTTAAACTCAGATAGAAAATAGTGGCAGGGACATGCAATGTATTTTGGCCTATTGAAAAATCATACCATTTACCGTTTCGGTTTTACAAAGCAAGTTAAAACTAGTAGTCAAATTGCTTGATCCGTACGAAACAGGTCGTTATTTCTCCAATCTGTATGATTCCACATTGCCGTACACGTTTTTCTTGGCACAGTCAAAAGTAACGCCATTCCTAACTGACTAAGTACTCAAAGAAGGCGAGCAATCATGCGTTTGTTAATTCGTGTTTCACCATGCGTAGCTTTCATATTAGGTACTTTGCGTTCACCTCTGTTTCGCTTTTATCATTAGCTATAATGTAATCACATCATCTCAAAGAATTCTTTGCCTAAATATAGGTTATTGATTGCTGAGAATTCGTACGGTGTTAGTTAAATGTCGTATTTCTTCGTTTCATTGACATAAGCTAAGAATTTTCGAGAAATTATCACCCTGCGTGCAGAGCTATAGGGTGGGTAGCAAATAGATTCTAGTCTACTTCTAAGAACAACTTACTGAGATAGTGCGAAATATGAGAAACTAGTCAACGGTGTGTCAGGACCTTACCAATCCTCGCAGACGACGCATTGAAGCATCTCTTCGGAATCGGTACGCTCGGGATCCGGGTAAGGTCGCGAACAACGGCAGTATTTTCCCGAGAAGTTCTGGTTGTATGAGTTTTCGTTGTTAACCGCTGCTTTTGCCTGCAGCAAGTCGTTGATTCCAACCAAGCATACAAGTTCATTCAAGTGGCACGTTGCAGCTCAGCTGTTAAATCGCGCATATTTTAATAGTAGCAACTGTATATTGTACTGTTTGCTGTATAGCTGCAGTCGTCTACAAAAGCGTTCGAATTCTGCCCCATTAAAAGCGTATTGTTTTTGCCGACATGACAAGCTTTCTTTGAGCTGACTACAACTATCTATTTGGTAACTTGGTCTTGACAAATGTTTTTTTTTTGCTTCTACACAAAAGCTAAACGTAACAGGAGGGTACACATACTTTCATACGTATTTTACGTGTTTTATTAAGCACCCGACGATCAGAAAATATATCCACCGTACTGTAGAAGCAACGCTGACTCGAGTACATAACGCGTGTATTTCAACACGAAACGTTTGCCTGTGTTTTAAGCGTGTACATACCGAATACAGGGAGCAGGTCATGTTGGGAAATTTGCTGTTGCCACAGTCGCATCGGAAATCACGTTTCGTATACAGTTCGTAAAGTTCGTGGCCATCATGACATGCATAAGAGCACGCGAGGCAGACCCCTGCGGCGGCTGGGTGCGGGGCGCACGTGGCGCACGCGTAAAGTGCTTGTCTGTCGACGTATCCCTGGTAAATTAAAATGGGATTAGACTTTTTTTTGGATAGGAAAAAGACGACAACATAAAACCTATGAGCGAAGGTACTTCGTAGAAGACCCTGAACAAGAGATTCGTCTGCACTTCGAAGCGATGTTGAGGAAACCACATATCAAAAAAGTCGCAATTCAGCAAGGTCGAAATCAGCTGTTGAATGTTTTGTCGTACTGATAAATGCTGTACACTTGGATAATACACGTATAACACAGACTTTATACCTATAAAAATAATACTCTTAGAAAGAGCATAAAAACACATATCTGTAGTTAGCGAAACGCCGATAAATACGCTAAGCCTCATTCATGTAAATGGTATTTCTTGATTTTCAAGAACGTGGTTTTTCTTGGGTGTAAATTACACGTCCATGAATACTTACACAAAATAATGGTAAAACTTATACAAGTGACCAATCTATTTAAATCTACCTTAAAATGAACGCATGCAATTATTTAAAATATTCCGGGGTTGTTTAATATCGGCTTTTAATGAACGAGAATTTTTCTACTTTCCGTTTGCTCTTGTCTTCTGCCCCTCAGGAACAACTTTATTTATAAAGTTGTTCATAAAGAGCTCAGTTCATCTGTTGAATTTGCCATGAGGCTGCTTTATCCAAGCACAAAAGTTGTCCCAAAGTTAGTCTTAACTCTGATCAGAGAGCACCAAAAACAGATCACACTGTGTTTCTTCCTGCTATTACCTTAACATAGCTGCAACGTTTCGCGTCCGAAGCGCCGAGAACGGCTGCTGCATCAGCCTCCAGCGATTCCTCTTCGTCGAGAATTTCTTGCAGGGTGACGCTGTCCTCTCTGTTTGGCTGCTCAGCTGCCCAATTTTCATTGGCGAAAGTGTCTTGACGACTGCTGTTCGCTCCGTTTTCCTTACCGTCCGCTGACATTTTGTACAGTAAACCTTCTTGTCGTGCCTGTTACTATGGGCTCACAGTTGCTATTGATGCTGCTACTGCTAGAGCTTGTTGAGCAACGCTATGTCAGCCTAGCAGCTCCCGACTCTTCCCTACTAACGTAACGAACAGCTAGACACAGCCAGTGGTGTAATACAGTGATGAGCTGCGGGCACCCAGTAAGAGCTTTTGGCGCGAGCTGCGCACCCCGGGAACTGAGCAGAAGCAAAAACACTCACTGTATCGATCTTATAATCGTTGGAACAGATGGAGTACGGGTTTGGGGATGACGGGCAATTGACGGTATTCTTTTGAGAAAGAAATCTTTGACTTAATCAAATCATTCAACAATCAACCAGACAACCCCGTTTCTTTTTTCGATGGGCATGTTTCGCGACGAATAGTTTATTCATCGCTGAATGAAACATATAGGCCGGATGGCCAAGTACAATGATGGAAATGGCAGAGAAAGTGCGTAGTTGTGGCTTGTTAGTTTTTCGTAAACACACAGAGTATCAAAACAACCGACATTGTTAAAGCTTGGAAAGGAAGGCCGCCTGCTGCCAACACAAAGCCTACTATGAAACAGTAGCAGCCGTTTGATTCCAGCTGAGTGCAAGCCTCCGCTTCAGTTCGGCGGTCCGTCCGCAGACGTTGTTGGTGCAAAAAGGAGAACGAAAAAAGGGCTTCATGATATAACTTCGTTCGTAACGGACGCTTCTATATTGTGTTGTAAACTTTTTAGGTCCGATCTGGGTGAATGGATCTGCGTGCAAATGCAGATGCTAAAAAGGTAGATGCTGTCGATGGCCCATAAACTGTGACTCTGTTTTCTGGCTATAGGGTTGACTACAGGTTTCAGCTGCTGCTGCTGCTGTGTGGGTTTCATCGTAACAGCAGCAACAGTAGCGGTAACTGCGCCCAAAGCAGCTGAAACAGGAGATTCTAGCCCGCTTGTTGACGATGTTTTAGTACCAGGGTTTTAGCAGTTGACTGTGTTGACTGCTAATATTATAGTGTGTTTGCTGTACAATACTGAACGAGCTTTGCTATTTTAACCAATAAAACTACAATGGAAGCCTGTATCGCTGTCGAAAAGGAAGTCGACAAGGTAGTCTCGAAGCTTGAGAGCTTCGAAAAACATCAGGCAAAAACACTTCAAGAACTGATCGATACGGTGTCTAGCATGGAACAAGAGATTGGTGCAGGTGCGTATCGTTGTGAGGTATATATTGAAAAATTGAGGCAAAAGTTAAGTTGTCGATCTACTGCCAGTCAGTGTATTCCACCAGATTAAAAAATTACCATATAAGAGTAGCAAACAAATAGATCATTATCCCAATGTAACTGGAAAAAGCCAAATATGTTAGAAGTTTATTAGGATGTATCTATAACAAAAAAACAAAAGAGAAGCATTTAAAGTATAGATCATAGATAAACGAGTCCTTCCACAGAACAAAAATTAGTGCGGAACTTTCTGTAACTATATACAGTAACAGTTGTCTTTGCCTGGAAATGACGCAGCTTTTTTTAATTACTTAGCTACTTTACCAGGAAAATTAGTGTTTTATGAATCATTTTACTCAAGGATAAATGCTAGACCTTCAGCTCTGCTAATCAGTATTTTGAAATCTTTTCACTAAACGCTTTTTTGCTGATATTTGTACCTACTACAGTTGAGAGAGACGTCCGGGAAACCAACACTGTTGTACTAGATACATGTGTAAAGAAGATTAAAGACGTAACTATTTCTCTAGCTACACAACATAGAGACCTTCATGGGACGGTGTCAAAAGTTGGCAAAGTCATCGACAAGGTTTGTCTCTTTTTTTTCCCAAAAAAGTACGCCAACGATGAGAAGTTACAAATCGTTTTATTGATGCACACGTAAGATATACCCGGTCGCAGTTTGTTCATTTTGTGAGTTAGACATACGATATAAGAAATCACTTTCATGTTTAATTGTCATGTATTTTGTGTAACGTACTCTGTGTATCTAGGATATAACGGCTATTAATAGTCTTGACCTAAAATAATTATTTATCTGTATTCATTAGTCTGTGATCCATTTGAAATTCAGTGTGAAAACGGACTTGTACTGTTGTTGTGCATATAACAGAGCCGAATGACAACAGTATACCATTATCCTTGTCAACTTTCCATTGATCTGTTGTTTTTGTATTTTTGCTAATGTCTTGGTTTGTCGGCTTTTGTTTCCTTTGTACTCGCTGCATTTGACCAGAATTTCATATCAGACTTCGCAGCGACATCCAAAGAAGGCGTATTCGAAGACGAAAAATCACAGGCTATGGTCAATCAGGTAGTATGTGAACATTTTCTCCGCAAAGGCTACCTTGATATAGCCGAAGAACTTGTAAGAGAGGCCAACATACAGCTTCCGCAAAACTATAGGGAGCCTTTTACAGGTATGCTTGAATCTGCTTATAATAATGAATAATTAAAACTCACCGGTTGATGCTCATTGGAGAAGCACCAAAAAGCATCACTTGTGTCGTTAATATTAATTTCAATATTTTGAAGCAGATTATGCTGTGGACAAAATTCAGTGACCAACCCTATTGCATAAAGTACTGCAAGATGTTGTCTTTCATGCTAAACATTTCTTACATTGCAGAATAGGGTATATGAGTCCCCGCCCTTGTTTCTTGTTATCGACATTTTTCTTTGCAGAACTTAACCGCATCCTCGATTCACTTCGTCGTCGCGACCTTCAGCCGGCCCTCGAGTGGGTCAACTTACATCGGGAGCGGTTAAACGCGCAAAATTCCGAATTAGAATTAAAACTGCATCGGTTGCAGTTTGTACGGCTTTTAGTAGGAGGTGCTACATCTGCTGAAGTCGTTGCCTACGCAAGGCAACATTTACAGCAGTTGGCCGAACGACACAAGAAGGACATCCAAACCCTGATGGGGTGTCTTCTCTTTACGTGTACAACTGACCGGCAAGCGTTGGCCAATAGCCCGTACGGCCATCTATTGGACAGTGCACTCTGGACGGACATTTGTCAGGTAGAGGCAGAAGTAGGCTTTTTGTTAGCATAGAATTATACTTATAAAAGTTGATAATTGAAGTGAGTTATTTAGTAACGCATTTACGTTAATAAATTTAGTTAAAATGTTTAAAGAAAAATGATGGCCAAAATATTATAGAATGTAAACTAAATTGTAGTGACTTAGTAACTATTGGCAAATATTCCAATCAATATTCTTTATCAGATGCCCAGCGCTTTTTTGGCAGGTGACCTTCTCTGAATCCTGGAGTGGTTTCCTGTAAAGCATTATAATATGAAAAGTTCGTTTGTATTAATACACGACATATTAATTAGCGTGACTGATCTGCATTTTTATTGCTACTACTAGTTGCACTACGATTGCTTAATATCTCTAGCTTCTATATATTCCAGGTGTTTTCTCGGGATGCATGCACTTTGTTAGGTCTATCTGTTGAAAGTCCGTTGTCGGTTTGTGTCAATGCTGGCTGCACAGCCGTACCTTCGTTATTAAGTATCAAGCAAGTGATGCAGCAACGACAAGTTAATGTCTGGTGTGGAATGGACGAATTGCCGGTAAGTCCTGGTATTATTCATTTGTGCCATATGACATTTTTGCTCGTTATTAACGCAAAACGATTCAAGTTTGTAGTTAATGATTGCAAAGATTTTCTTTGATTGGAATAGTCGATAGATTAATGAAGTTTGCTTCTCCTATTAAGCTTATAAAAGTTATAAGTTTAGAAACCTGTTTTCTGATTTTACTTAGCATACACATATATATATATAGTTTTTTTTTTTCGTTTTTGGTGTAGATTGAGATTCAGTTAGGACGGGCAAGTCAATTCCATTCGGTGTTCGCTTGTCCCATTCTGCGTCAACAAAGTTCTGATCACAACCCGCCGATGCGATTGGTTTGCGGGCACGTCATATCAAGAGACGCTCTCCATAAGCTTGCTAATGCCACAAAGTACGTATCAAAAGGCACGCGCACAGATTTGCACATATTATGCATTGTAGAATAGAAGCAGAATACGTACAAATTGGTCCTTTAAAGACCTTGCTATTTTTCAAAGAAAACGTTAACTGATTTCGTCGTAACAAAGGGCTAATTGTTACCCAGACAGAATAATGCAGTTAGCTACAACATGATCATAGTAAAATTCTGCTTTGTAACAGAGTAATATCCGCTCCTTATCATTTTCTGCTTTTTTTTCTTCATTGTTTCAGGCTTAAATGTCCGTACTGTCCGGTTGAGCAGAATCCTAGTGATGCTCGCGAAGTTCACTTTTGAGGTACTGGCAGCAACGGCAGGTGGCCGTCTCAATTATTTAACAGTAGTTGCTAAGGGTGAGAGGTAATACAATTTCGGGTGATTGCTGCGCGACCGTTTAGGCGTGCGAAAGCGGAGAAGAGGCAATGAAAGAAATTACTGGTCGTTCGAGCGGCGCGCAGGTACATGCGCATCAGTTATACGTACCATTAGTGATATGCGATTTTGTACGGCTATGCATGATTCGTCCTAGAACTCATTGTACGATTTGCATTGTTATTGAGATAGCATTACTACAGATCACAGTGTCGTGTCCATTACTCTGAGAGTTGAATGTGTGACCATGACATCGAATGAAATGAAAACTGACTGAAGAAAACCGCAAAAACTAACCACTACGGGGCCACTTAATTTTTTTTTTTAAAGAAGTTGCTATGTACGGTGTGCGCGTAAATGAACGGTCCCCTAAATCAAACGGGGTAGTAGATGGGACGCCTAACGAGGCTATAGTATAGGAAATCTAAAGAAAAGAAAATGCTTGCGCTGCCACGTAAAGGGATCACATTTACAGAAGGAACGAAAATCAACAAAAAGGCAGACCAACAACCTCGAAACACGAAGGCAGTAGCAGCAATAACCCACTGTACCAACAACCAATGTATATAGTATTGACAATATAATTAATAATAATAAAATAATGATAGTACCATTAGTAATCATAATAATCACCATTATAGTGGTAGCAGAATAATCACAATAATATTCATAATAGTACTAGTTATAGTAACAGAGACAAGCGACTCTGGTGATCAGCTGAACATAGCAAAAGCGCAGCAAGTATGATTCGTTCGACTGGAGAAGCAAAAAACATAAAGCGTTACATAAACCTTGAAATCATTTGAGAATAATGAAAGCAGATTGAAAGAAACTAAAATAGAGAAATTAATTTTTAGCAGAGTGTTTTTTTCGTGTTTAAATTTAGCGTCGGATAAGTACATGCGTGAGATCGAAAAGGGCTCACCAAGGGCAGAGAATGTGCCACAGGTTTAAATAAACGATGCTGTAATGATATGATTATTAATAATATCAAATAACAACGCTAATTAATGTTAAGCGGTACCGATAATTTCAGTGACTAAGCATACTTACAAGAAGACTGCGTTAGTAAGGCCATGTTATAACGGTAATGATGAGGATGATGCTTGTATAAGACGAAAGGAGATGTGGAAAGTTGAAATGAACTTTTGAGTGATCATGTTAGATGACGGAAGATACTACTAGTAATACTGATGCTTCCGGTCTTGGTGGTTTAGTTCACTGAAAGGACTTAATAGTAATAATGGTGTATGGGTGGAAGGCACAAAGCAGAAAAGCCCTAGCGTTGGAAAATATAATAATGAACTAGATGTAGTGATTTCGAACTACATTGGAAAGACATGAGGACCTTGTGCCGGAACAGAAGCTGGTACAAGAACTACGTGTCGGCAAGGAGAAGCCTGATAGAAATAACGGCAAGAACGTAACGTGGTGATATTGATTCTTAACAAAAATGGCAATGACAACACTGTATAACTATATTTATAAAGTTACATGGAAATAAAAACAAAGAGAAAATACTATGTTTGTCTTTATTTAAATGAGGAAAACTGGTGTCAAAGTAACCAGTTTGCTCGTTATTAACAAAGCATTGAAGAACAGAGCCCAAGGCAGCCTTAGTGTGCACCAGTAAATGAAGTAAACTGAATTAAAATTTAGTAACTGAAACTATTTAAGCACTAATTCTCATAGACCTGATAAAGATTGGTAGCGACAAACACTTTTTAGGATTTTTTGAACACGCTAAAACCTATGAAATATCATATTTTTACACTATAAAATATAAAACCTACGATTTTAGGCTAATATGTCCGTGCATGCATATGGAGACAAACATTGGGTATGCACTGTATCTTTCATCCATCAGCGTGTTTTTTAATTTATATTTTTCTAATTTCGACTCTAAACAGGTCAGAGGGATCAAAATTCGAGAACTTGATTAGCTGCTATTTTCATATTGTAAGTTTCTCAGATAATAATGAAATAACCATTTTACACCATTTCTCATCATTTTTTTGTAATTTACTTTTTTAGAAAAGATTGTTTTCAAAATGTTCTATGTTTTTTTTCTTATCTTCTTTTTATCTTTAATGAACTGCTAGACAAATTAATGTCTCGGCATAACTTGTTCACATTGCTTCAGATAGCTTTTAGATCAGTGCGAATTCTTCCACAAGCTAAACCTCGCAATAAATCTAGAAGACTGTATATCAAATTGAAGTTTGTTCTGCGCAATAATTCTGGAATGATATAGACTACGAAAAAGCTATGTAATCGGAGGCATAGGAATTAATGCTACACTCCGCTGCATTAAGAAAGTCTTTTACACTGCTGCACGCTGATGCAATAGCGCATAACAAACTCTAGCTGCGGTTGAAATAATTAAATGCTAGTATACGCATGAATGCAGAAAAGACATGTTTGCTAAGTAAGGCGGCAACAAATTATGTTACATCCACATATACCATTGTTTTTATAAATTGCTCAGTAGAAGAATTACACATTTTATAATATACAAGCGTTTTATTTATGTTATTTTTAATATACACTGTACGAATTAATGCTCTCTTGATAATCGTATTTTCCGTATAAACACCGCGATATCGATATCACACAATTTGTTCTTTCTCAGATAAAACGTCAGTTCTCCATCATGCTTTTTGACCGGAATGCTCTTTCAAGATTCACATTCTTCGGCTTCTACGGCTATTGTGTTTCAGTTAAACATAGTCTATCAATTAACCATCTATGGTCTCTATGGAATTATACACTTGCTCGAAAACTAGCGTCCTAGATGAACTATAGGCCATCCGGTCTAATAATCTATAATCTAAACATCAAAACGGACTATAAAATCAATAGTAATCTAAGTAGTTGTCCTTGTCATTATCGTTACCTTTCCTCTACGTATTGTGCATGCTACTTATATAATAGATGGTTCATAGACTTCTCACTGCTACCATTCATGCAACTGATTCGCATTATTCATTATCTCATCGACTGCTTATCTTCGTTATCATCATTTATACTATGTCGTTATGCAGTAGTACCTTATTAACAGCAATATACAGTATTTCCTATCCTGCTCAGATAATTCGTTGGAAAACACCATCATAGGAAAAATAATTCGATGTTTGTTTTCTATAGCAGCCGATATGGTGATTTGGTTCGGTTTACTGAAATTACTAAATCTTTTTTCCATCGTTAATGATAAAACTTCTGTCTCACTCGTTTGTAGTTGATATTGTTTTGTGTGCTCTTCAAATAGTTCAGGCATTAGGCCTATGTCGATCCTTAAGGCAACAATATCGATTCGTCGCTTGTCGAATAGTGAGGTAGACGGGGGATGAGGTCTGCACTGTATCGAATGATCAGATTGTGCCTCACAAATTATTTTAAACACATGCCTGCTTGTTGGCAAATATGAAGATATTTTCGATCCTTGCATTTTTAAGAAAATGGGTCGCGTTCTGTGACGAGTTTAATCTACACATGTTTCAACGACTGTTCTTTTGTCATAGTGCATACTTCCCCATTACCATTCGAACGAAGTCCCAAATGATGGGCTGCTGTGAAAATATCAGCAGCAGTACCCCGAAAAAATCAATTTTCATACATCATGCGAAAATAACGGAGATTTCACGTAACATATTAGATATATTAGTCATACAATATATTATCTATTCGAAGAATTTAGCATGCATAAAAAGGTAAACGACCGTAACAACGGGAAAAAAAAGATGAAAGCATACCGAACCAAACAAATACTAATACCGCAACCATACTATATATATACATTCATTGATTATGTGATAAGCCAATCTGAAAAATGAACTCGAACAAGTGCCTGGGTTAATAAATAAGAGACTGACCCATAAATCTAATATACTCCCATTCAATTGATAGGAACGTGTTCAAAAGGTACACAAACGGTCAGCCATTGCAGCTTATTTGGCCACATGAGGTGTTCACATAAGGGCACATCCAGGCACATAAATAGATGTGCTCGTAGGCAATAAACCTACTGATGCAATCGATCAACGCTGTTCTGCTCACTCATTCCATGACACCACTGCGTTGTTAAAAGCATCTGTACTATCTTAATGATATTTTTATGTACAGATGTTATAGTATATCACCTGTAAATTCAAATATCCGCTACAATACAACGGAACCCATTGAGTACATTATGCGGGCTTCATCTTTACCCTAAGCGGTCCGCTTTGTCAGTTAGAGATTGTTGTAATTTACAACCCTATTATTAACAATATCCTAATTTTGCTATGACATTTTTAAAAGTTGAGGAGAAGGCTGCGCATAATTCGTATTCATATTTCTATTATTGCTATATTTCTCTATAACATTGGAGTAGCAGCATTTTGATCGAAAATCGTTAAGGTTTTTGGTGGTTGCATTTCGGTTAATAATGTCTGCTTCTTTTAAGTACAATAAATTAGAGGAAGCAGGAATTGCAGGCAGATAGAAGACTATAGAGAAACGAGCGCGTCGGTCAAAGCAAGGTAAGAACAATATTTTCTTTTTCGGATAGTTATTAGATGTTTGCTGTATCAAAATACATTCTGCGCAGTAGTGTTTGTTTTCAATTGATTGTGCAACCAGGCTGATCGACCGTAGATGACGGTGGTGCTGTCGCGCAAGAAAGCGGACGCTGGCCATCGCGGGAGGGACTACGCATTTTCTTTCGACCGGTCGATTGTCGATTCGCTGCTTCACCTGATGTCGCTGTGTGATGGCTAGTTGATTCGTTTAGTGAAGCTTGAAGGGCGCGCGCCAATTGTTCGTCTTCGCGCTATAAATATCAACGGAAATACGATATGAGAGATAGTTGAAAACATTTTCAGACATAAATCTTACATCTGATAGACCCAGTGTGGCTCATTTTATGATAGTATTAGCATATGCCATAGTACAACATTTTTGTTGGTGTTTAAGCGAACTTTTGTTTGAAGATTGAATGCAGTGATGCTCGATTTTTTAAAAATTGACGATTTTAACCTAAATAGTTAGGGCTTTACACTTTTAAAATCACATTTGTTTAAGCCAATCTCATGCATTACCGGCTCAATTCTTACAATATCAAGGAAAAATACTTCTTCTTGAATAAGGTAAGAAGATCCTCACCATCTGTCGTTCGAGAGCTGCCTGAACAGCCTTTTCCTGTTTCTGTGATCTAGCCGAAGCTGCCTTTAATGAATGCGGACGACATTCATGGTCGGACGGGTGTCGATGCTTCAAGCAAAAATTTCTACGGCATTGATCACATCGAATTGGGATCATCTCCTTCTTCTTACACTGATGCGCTGAACATCGGTTCGTGTATACTTTTGTTGTCGAATTTCTACACATGTTATCTGTTGACGCATTATAAAATAGTGATTCGTGTAACAGCTACGTATACACTATGATTCAGGAAATATGGAAGAGCTTAATATTGAAACATCAAGAAAAGTAGTAATGATAACAATAATAATTATTATTTACCTATACATTAGTAAAGGTTGATGCAACGTCCGCAACATTTACGCTGGCGGAAGGCATGCTTACCATTATCAAAGAAATCAAATTGCACCTCCAACCGAGTTCCGATAAATTTAGTTTTCAAAAACCTACTTTGTGCGTTTTTTACCTTCCACAAATTATAAGATCTAAGGAAACTCTTTGTAAGATTGCGACTCTGTGAGTTCGGAAGCAAAACTATTTAGCAAGACCTTGTTAAATACAGTCTTGTTTTTTAAATGGACTGCATGATGATTTTGTAGATATTGTTGTAATTATATCTTACCTTTAACCTTAAGTAATCTAATCTCGTTTAAATTGTACAGCTTTTTTAAGTGGTCGTATTTTATTTTTTCATGACATCTTTTCGTGTGCAAGTAGAGGAATCATTACATCTTGGGAGCACTTTGCATAGTGCATAGAAGTATTTTTTCGCATTGACTTGTGGTTAGCTGTTAAACTTACCAATATGTTGCGAGACAGCGATATCTGGTGGATCTCCGGGCCGAAATCCCGACACGGGACAACTGCAAAGTGGACACACAGGCACCTGTACATCTCCAAGGTGGCCTTGTGAACAGTTGTGTGATGTGTAAGCGAAGTGATCGAGGCTGTAATTTTCATGAGACTTTCACTAGTTATAAGTAATGTCGCAGGCAGTTTATTCTTCGATTATAGGTTCTGCTAAATGAATTAATGATGCATAGCTTCGACCTAGCCGCAACATGAGGTGGTTTGTGATCATCTCATAGGAGCTCACTTCACATAATAATATAGCTGCTGATAGAATTCCATATAACCTACCAGCTAATCTTCCCCAAAACTTTAAAACTCCAAAGGTTAGCCAGCTAACAACAATAAGCTATGAAAGGTTCGAATTCTCTACATTATATAAAAAATCATAAAAGATTTGTTACCCACCAAAACACCTTCTTACAAGCGTCGCACTTTATTGGGAGAAAATCTGTAATAAACACAGCCGTTATATTAGCTATGTTGCTCATGGCTCATAATTTTGTGCTTAATAAGTTTATTTTAAAACATCGAATATTTGCATTAAATTAAATCCCGACGTCTTCGTATATATCTAGATAAATGCATAGATAGACGGAGCCAACCCCTTTGTGTTCTTTTAATCTGTGTTCCTCTGATGTTTTCTCGCCTTTCTAATTTCCAAATCGTCACAATTTGCAATTCGTATGCATCTACTATCTGTACATGTTCGGCAAAGTGAGCGCTAAATGGCTCAATGCGAACAAAATAACGTTTGCGCTTCGTGAACAGTTTCAATACCGTTTTGATAGGGGGCACCCATCGTCCTGTCATGTTTTGTTACAGCAGACGGGTAATATGTCTCATATGGGAAATGTTTGTTTCGTATTCATACCGAGTATGTTGCACGAAGACTCCGAGCAATGGTCGCCCAGATGTGGAAACTCCATTTTAATGTGCTTGACTTCTGAACTGCAAATCGCGAAACAATCAAGGTACCGCACACGCACAAACGAATTATTCGTCACTGTGATAAGGGCGGGCTTATATTTGAACCGAATGTGAACAATCTGTACTCTTCCTGATACTTCTGTGAGTCAGCTGATTTCTAATGAGCTTGCTCATCGTTAGTTGTTGTTAAAACCCAACGACTCGTATGGTGCACATGGGTTGCCCGATACTGTTCCCGGAGTAGAAAAATTTGAATTGTTCGGCGGGAAAACAATCAGAGTTAAATGACAGCCTACTCTCGATTATTATGTTGAAAATGATAAATACTTAGGGGTTTCATATTTGAGTGAAAGACTATGTTGAAAGTTGGGTTGGAGAAATAGTTGCAATCATATTTATTGTACAACCTGCAACGTCCCATTCCTTTTTTAGTTTTGTAGCAATCTACGATCCCGCCAAATTGGATGATACAAAACAAAATGAAGAACCACTGAAAAATCTCTGATGATTTTTTCTTAGGCTATCTAGAAGACACTCCAGTTAGACACTACCGTCTACGTATTATTATCTTTAAACTTTTGGAAGCAATCCGTATACAACTATCAATAGTTTTTTTTTTATTTGCTACGACCACTAGTTATTTGCGTTTGAGAACGCCATCGTACTCTTTACAAGTAGGGTAGTGCACTATTCAAAAAATGTACCAGATTACTCAAGCTACTTCAGTCGTTTAACACAGCATCGTCTGCTGCATGAAAAATACAAAAGACCAAAATTAAAACCTGTTATTTTGCTGTCTTGTAACTCTAAATTTATGAAGTTAGTATTTTTCCATTGAACCTGAGTTTTTTTTCAGTAACGGTCACGAGAAAAGACTAATCTATTAGTTTCATTAAAAAGCTACCTAAACTGCTCTAAACATAAGCTAATGCGGTACCGATGCATTTGATATTTTTCGATAGCATGTCTTTTTTAACCTTTAGGTTACCATAGACTACCATAGAATCAGGGGGAATATCAAGCTGATCTATAGAGAACTTTATTTTCTCTTAAAATATTACTTTTTTTAATGAATATTATAAGATTGTCCGTTTCGATATGTCAATGTGAAATTATCGATAAATACCCCCGTTATTATAAGGAGTAAATCGCAATTACTAAAGATTTCAACGTGTTCACCTTTGTGATCTCCTCGTTGATCATAGGTATGAACTACTTGTGGCCAGATTGCTGAGGATTATACTTTATGAATAGTTTTGACTGGTTCAAGCCATTCCTAATAATTTGAATGAATAGTAAAATTCCACTTTTTATCTATTGCTAGTTGCTGCAGAAACTGACATACACTTTCCGTTTCCATGTATATATAAATATGCATGGTCAAATTTCTAGATCCATCAATTATGCGCGAAAATTAGGTAGATGGTCTAAAATGCCAGGCATCTACTTTATACATCTGAAAGAACCAAAAAAAGGACTACAATCGGAAGCAAAAACGATTGTTTATTCAATCCAGATGCGACAAAGATTAGCCGATTTTGTCGTTTGTCGAAGCTCTAGGCTGGACATAAAGTACTGATTTAGTGATTTTTTTGTTGGCTAATATCCCTTTCAGTCCAACAAAGTGCAGCTTGCGAGTAATACTATGTCTGCTACTCGAGTCGATAGTACGTTAGTGAATTCTGTTTGAGATATCTACGGTTCCTATGACACAAGGTCGCTGTTGGCCGATATAGCTGAGATCGCTATGATGTTTGGTCTTGCTCGGCTCTGCCCAATGATTTAACTAATATTGCTAAACTTTGCCTTCAAGTAACGCTCATAATTTAAAAGCTCTTCGGTTACGTTTAATGGAATTTCGACTTAGAAGGCCAGCAAATGGCGTGGCGTGGAATCAACGACATGTTAGACAAAGTAAGTTCCCGCGACTTACTCGGGGGTAGCCAAGACCTCATCTTTGGCTGAAACAAAGACAAAATTGTTTATAAAAGATAAATGGTAACATGACAAGGGACAAACGGCAGTCAAGTATTTACACGCTATAATCGCTATGATGGGAACAATATAATTTACTTATTTTACTTAAACTCACACATGGGGGTCTACCAATACAAAAAAAAATTGAATACGGATCATCATATTTTATCACACCAGCATCAGGAGCCTTTTACGTTGAAACTGTCGAGGACACTTTGCAACAAATGGCTATAAAAGTTATCAGGAAGCAATAGAAAATAGTTATAAAAAGTAATCAGAGCCTATTTATAAACTTCGGCGATTTTCTGCTCCAGTTTTACCTTAAAGCAGAACGTCGTGTTTAAATAATTTTATCGAGCCGCTGATTTCTAATATAAATCAGTTGATGCAGTGAATGCTTGCGTGCCGATTGAGCGAGCTTCCTTCTGCATTTTTGCTCAACTTCAGTCGTTCGATTATCTGGGATTTCGTTGTCTGTTACTTGATATTTCAGTAGGATCGTTCAGTAATAATGGTAGGTTAAGCCAAGCATTTTCCTTGAAGAAACACTGCTAACAATAATGTCTGCGTTCTCCTTTATGCGGATCCGCCGGGCTTTAATATATTAGTACGCATGAATTTAATAATATAGCGTAATTTGCTGATAACACAGAAAGCAATGTCTACATTTATCACGAGGCGTGCCATGTAGCCAATATCAGCTGAATACCTGTATTGCCGCTTACTGTACAAAATAAAAGTGATATTTTCGTATAGATTATTGTTAATATGGAACAACTTTTGTCTATATATATATATATATATATATATATATATATATATATATATATATATATATATATACTAGGTAGCTAGGTGATAGGTGATATACTAGGAGGCTTAGCCTTATTTTACGAGTAGCTGCATAAATTAACTTCATAGGCACTGGGTGCTCAAATGTGAGTGGTATGATAGACAAGCTTACTTTAAATTGCATTTTGCTTTTCCATACACACAGTAAACCGAAAGAGGCAGTGAATTTTCGAAATCATTAAATACGAAGAACTATAGGTTTTTAGGAACCTTAGTAAAAACAGTTAGGAAAGTTAGTAGGAACATCGTTCAATATAAACCATGGTCTGTATTTTCAGAAAAATTTAAAGTTTTTAGCCATTTCTTTTAGTTAATTCTTTTTCAGAAGAACGAACCCTCCAGATGCTGACGCTGGTTTGCGGAAACATTCAGGACCCTTCTTTCACACAGAATGCGGGCTCAAACTGCGTGTACATATACGCTAACAGCGTTGTTTTGCTCTCTTCGTCGTTGAACTGAGATTTTACTGAGGTGAAGAATTCTCCCACATGGTATCTCGAACGCAATGCGATTCGGTGCAGTGTAGGCCAAAAAATTTGTTTTCATATTGATAAATGCTTGTCACGCCGTTCCTTCTCCACTTAGAAGATGCTTATTCTCATCCAGCCGTTGTTGGCTGAGCTTGACTGTTATGGAACACCTGTAGAAAAATGTACTATTAATTTCCGTAGCAGTAGTAGTAGTATTATTGCATTCAAATTTATTGATTACATGTGCCGTTTCATTCCCGTACGTACTATACTGCACGGAGATTTCAAATATTACAGTAATTATGAGTGCGGCAGGCTGTCTACCGCTTTTAGAGTTTTGCACCCGCAGCCAATGACTCTCCAAAAATTTCATGGTCTCGTTGTGTCTAAGTTTATCGACGGACCGCTGTTGATCGCGGAAATACTTGTCGTGATTCTAAGCCCTTTAAGCCAGACAAACTGTGCCTAATTCACCACGACAGTCTGGCTGTAACGTTTGCAAAGCAAAATCTCGGCTATTCCGTTTCAGTATACCAGGTGCCATTGTTGGAAAATGTTTATACAAAAATGAAATCTGCAGCATATTTTCACGGAATTTTTCCATTATTATTAGTACGTAGCCTTTGATGCATCTCGGCTGTCTGATCTGTTCGTTACTAGTGGGCTTCCACAAGCGGATACAATTCATAAGTATAAGGCACCCTTATGAGCGGCGGGTTCAATCATACCCAAGTAAGACTGAGATGGGATGCTGCTTGGCGCTAAAAAGCCATTATTGATAAAATACTTGAGTATTAGTTCGTGATTTATTAATTTGCTTGTTAAATGGTTTGCAGTTTTTGGCTTAATGCAGTCATCTATTTGGATGGGCAAGCAAGCACGTTCTTGATATTGGAAATATATTAGCTCGTTTGATTGCTGTGATAAAGGTAAGGCCTGGTTGAGCTACTACATACTGGCTCATTAAATCATTTCAGATACTACTATCCGAATTAGTTGTTTCAACATGGCAAAAGTGAGCTTTAGCATAAAGAGGTCGAGCGGACCCACAACAACTCCTTTTCGCAACCTTGTCACAAGCGTGCTTCTCTACACTTATTTTTGTACGTATTCTTATAGAAAAACAATGACAGTGCACGGGTACGCAGAGGGAGGTTTTATTGAAATGGTGTGAAAGTCATCTCAATGTAATGGTTAAGCCTTCATTGCGATTGTATTTTAGCTCTAAAACACTGTCGTAATTTTGCCCCGTCATGTTTATGTTGATAATCAAAACGAATACACAAGACTACCAATTAGCCACATTGTGTCCCAAGGGTTACGATATTAATAACTAACATTAAAGCGAAGTGTGTGTTTTTATAACAGAGATTTTCAGAGGGCGAACATTTTTGAAGTGGTCTCAACCCTTGGAGTGTGGTGGTGATTGTTTTAAAGAGAAATTATTGGTTATTTTAGAACTTTGATCTACCTCACCCTTAAGTCAATAATGTGTTCAGTTTATTGCTAATGCTGTTTACGATAGTACCTGAATGAAATTGATTTTTGGAACGTGTTTCTTTGCAATACCTGCCGCCGCTTAAATAAACCATCTCTTCTACCGAAGATAAATCATCATAATGCAGATTTCATACCCGTAGTGATAATGACCCTACTTTCGAACATCGATGACTCTGCTTACTGGCCAAAATGGCCAATATGTCTAAATAGAGCAAGCGAATTAAATAAATAACTGTGTCATCACCGATTGCTAAATTAGGACTTTGATTTGAACTCTATTCGTCGTAATAAGGCGAACCACAGATCGCCTCCGTTGCATTTGGTTATTGCTTTCTCCGCCTCATTTGAATATCTATTCAAATGCAGACCTTTATTTCTATTGAGAGAATAACGCAACATGATTTGAGTTTGATTAATAGATATAGGGAATACATATAGGTTATACATTTCGTATATCCCGGCTTGCCGAGGCGTCAAACGGTTCATCCAATCAAGATCGTTAATTTTCTAAATGTATCAGTTTCTATAACATTTGCGTCTAAATTCAGTTATTTCTGTATGTGGGAAAATGGGTAACTGTTACACTGACAAGTATATTTCCAATTAAGATTTGGCTAAAAGGTGGCCTTGGCGGAAACAAGCAGTATGATATTAGTAAATAATCAACAAAATGAATTGAACTTTAAAAGCAGCTGTTTTTGCTGGAAGCATAAGAAAAAGTAAAGACAAAAGCGTACTTAATGCACTGGATTTTTCTAGCGTCTATTGATGTCCTGCATGGTAGGATTGCATGCTTTGCTTCTGGGAAATCTGGGATTTTTATTTGACTCAATACCATTCTCGTGCCTGCACAAAACATATATTTACTAGATAAAGATATATACTCGCTTTAGGCGAAAAAGTTACCGTATATTTTATCAAGTACTATATACACGAGGTCTAAATACGCCCTAGTCCTGGATAAGAGATAGAGGAAGTGGTCAAATTAAAGGCTACTGTGATCATAGTAAAAATCCGAAACTAACATACTCGTAAAGTACAGTTTTAAAAAACCTCTTTTGATGGACGCTTTTTACGGTGCTGGAGCAATGTAGAATCATGTACTTGACATCCCCTAAACGGTTTATCTCAGCAAAAGCCAAATAAGCACACGTCCGAATATGTATATGTGTTTATATACGCATTTCGATATAATTTTATTCAACCGTGTTTCAGATACACACTGGCATACCCCCGATGCCCACCAACCAGAATAGTAGGCTGGTAATGTTATCAATTAATAAGTTCCGTGATCAAATCATAATAATAATAACAACATATCGATAGCCAATGTGCCCCATTGTCGCACGTCCCGCCTTGCAATGTTCATGCTCGGCAAGGTGATTCTCCAGCATAATTATATCGTTCCATTAAAAAGGGTAAGCGTTGATCAAGTACGTGTCTACTTGTCGCATTGGCAATCATTACCGCACAGACAGTTGTCACCACATTTGCAGCTGAAGCGCTTGGCTCCTGGTGAACCCTTTTTGCTGCAGTCACACTTGTCCCCACAAGTGCAGTGGCCGCTGGCCTGACAGTTACACTTCTCGTTCATAATGTGAGCCTTTTCTTCGACCTGTAATTATCTATAGGAAAAGAGTGGTTAGTGGATAAAGTAGTGCAAATTAAAAAGTTATATACGATCTCTGTACATACTTATAGAAGAATTATCCATAACGTATTAACTTAATTATTTTAAGAAACTGATACATTCCAAGGCAACGTGGTGGCCTTCTGCACAGAACACAACTTTACACACCACTCGCGTGTTTTTCTGCTAAACACGTCGTGGTCCATATTCGAATTTAAGCGTAGGTACACTCCATTTCACGCTGGAAACCAGCCAGTCATCCAAAGGTATGTCTGTCGGCTTAAGTACTGGACATAAAAACACGAAAAACGATTCTCTAGATGGGTTTAACCGAAGCGGTTGAAATGATATGTAGATATGAGTCAACGCTTAAATCAGTAACACTTCAACTCATCCCAGTTACCGTGTGTCCTTAGCCGAGCTTCGTCCACTGAGCTACTACGTAACCGATGCTGTTAAATGAGGATTGGCGTGACACACGGTTGTATGAATTTCTACGCGAGAGTTATTATTAATCTAACTTGAATAGCTATTATAGGAAACAACTAAATAGACCAAGACAATCGTCAACAGAAGACAAATTGACCAGTCGCCGTTTACGTGCATGAGCTGGGCTATTGACCCGTTATATTGCTCTTTCCAACCATATCTTTGATATGGACAATATAGTAGACCGTCAGGACTGACTATCATGGCAAGACGTTTAGACATTAACTAAATGGCAGTTTAGGGTTAGGTCCAAAAATGATGCGGAGACTGTAGACTTCTACTGATCTCATGTGGTTTAAGTGCCGCGAATTCATTAATTAGATTGCTGTACCCCGACGTCTAGTACAGACGGGCACTAACTTTACAACAAGCACATCTCAAGGAGCTGTCTTGAATCTCAGTTTTAGCGCTGGGGAAAACCGATTATTCGATAAGGGCAAATTCAATTAAACATTGGTTCCGTGTTGGACGACTACGAGCATAAAATTCGCTTGATACTGGAATGGCACAGATTCAGAGGTAGGTTTTGATCGCTACATTATAACCAAAACACTCTATGCATTGCAAATATTTCTTTAGCAAAGTAACAACGTGGTACTTACTGTTTTTTCACAAAGAGAATCTCTCGTAGCGAGTGTGTGGTCTTGCGCTTCCGACAGCTGCCTTATATCTGCTAGCATCTGCGTAGTAAGTGTAGACAGCGTCATAATGGTGTCCCCTCACTCAATATGGCCCAGGTCGACGCAGCAGCGGCTTTGGTCGCGTGGAGAGGGTAGGGAACGGCAAGTTAGTTACGTAGGAATGACGCCCTCTCTTTGCTTCCCTACTGTAATGTTACCTGTTAGCACAGATACGAGCAAGGGTCTGCGTGATAAAGTGTAGTCCAATAGCAACTTGTACGGCTTGACAGACTGGGAAAATCTTGCCGCGACGTACGTGGTTACTCAGGCAGGCACACAGACACATTAACAAACGGACACACGACAAGTCACAAGTACGTAAGCAGTACCAGACGAACGAACAGTCAATGGTAAATTAATACTGGTATGCTAACGTTAATCATATTGTAGCGCTAAGTAGCGATTGAGTTGGCGCCAAATGAGAGCGAAGAGACGATAGGAATACCAGCAAGGCCTCTTCAAATGACTGTATTATTATGGGTTACTGACGCGCCTGCCTGTTGTATTCAGGGTAGATAACTGCAACGAATCAATCTATTATTCGAAAACATTAGCCAACAATTAAAAAAGTAAGCTCAGAGTTGTAATAGTATTTACTTCACTGGAATCATGTTTTTTACCTTGTCAAAAAGGAAACCTATTTTTTTCGTACTATAGGTATGTGCTTTCCGTTATTGTAGGTCTACTGTTTGTTGTTCTTTCGAATGTAGCTATCCATATCCGATTAAGTCTTGCTGTTAGTATTAAAATTAGCAAAAAGGATTCTACTGGATAAAACAAGCATGCCGGCCCAAAAAGGAAAGAGATCAGAATTGTGATTGCACTTTGGCGGCACCGGTTGATCTGTCCCGAATATTTTACGCAAGACTTCAGACGATTAAAGTCGAGGCAGATGCACTAAAATACCAGTAAGAAAAAGAAGTAAGGCTGACAAAGTGCGTTCTTAAGCTGTTGCAATAATGTTATATGTCCAGACCCCCCATTCCATTTCTCTGTCAGCCAGGTTTACATGTATGATAGGGATGCGTTAAAACTATCCTGCTAAAATGTAATCACAGGCAATTATCGACAAGTAACCCGTAAAGAGACGCCGGCTAAGAATCTACAAATCTAAGTTTAACGTCCGCTAACTAGATCGACTGGTTACGGTAATTTGCGGTTCAGCTTTGAGTCACCTACCAAGAGCGATCGTTTTGAGACCGCTCATCTGCTCACTTGCTTCGAGATTAAATCGTTCCGCCCCCTAGCCGCTTTTGATTTCTCTTTAGGCCATTATTATCTGTGAACAGAACATGATCGATTCAATATACGTTTATGTTTTCGACAACTAATGCGATATGATAACGCTGTTTTACTTGTTATTTTGCAAATCACGTTTCTGGGAAGGAACGTAGGATTCGCGGAAGATTCGTTTGATTTTTTTTCATGACAATTCGTCGCCAGCGTCACGAGTGCATGTCTCGATGGTAATAGAAAAGCGTATAGCTATAGATAGTGGCGGAATCTCGAATAAAAAGTCGAAAGGGAGCAAGATAAGTTTGTATTGGCGATCAGTCAGTGAAAACCTTTGTATTGTCAGGTCTTTACAGATTATGCAATTTTAAAACATAGTATATTTATCGGGTTTTCGGCCATTAACATATGTGCACGTTCGTTAGAGAAACATAAATTATCGAGGAATATCGTTATGATAACAATCAACAAACCTGTGAGAGAAAGAACAATGTTTATAAGAGAAACCGCATTGCTATCGATCACTAAACGGCAAATCCTATCGCCGAACGCGTCAAACGACAAACAATATAGCTGTTTTTAACGTAGTAGTCTTAAAAAAATTAGAGATACAAGGTTCAGCGGATTTTTTGCATTGGGTGAGAATACTTTCGAATAGAGTATTTATTTTGCACACGCATGTACACGTCATGAAGGTGATTTTATGGGAGCGAAACAATAACACGTTAACCCGAATACCACGATACTGATCATACGACGAATTCATGTTAACCCTTTTGTACATACGCCTACTAATGATTCATAATATCAACGACGAAAAGAACCGTTGCGATGAGGCGAAGTTTCCTCTTTATGACTCAATAGTAGTTCATTTTCATGTATGTCTACAGGGCACTACCTATTTGCGCAAGAGGATAGCTGAGAAATAAGTGCTTAAGAAACATGGATAGGAGGGGGCGGATATTTTCGAAGCAGAGGCCTAACGCAAAAGAAACCTGTTTGGATATAATCGATAATCTCTCAAGTAATAATAATAATATATTCCTGTCTAACACAAAGCAAGCTCCTAGAGTACTAGCCATTGCCCCTATAGACATAAAACGAAAACCATCTATCTGCGAAAATAACCTAAACAATTTATCCGCTTGCAGAGTGACTTGATACTTAAAGATAGCCAGAGCTAGGGTTTTATAATACAGTTATCCATTTAAAGAGTGTGAGAAGTGCAAATGCCGACGTTTAGCCGCCTATCGATAATAATGAGTAGAAATTTTCGCCTAAGTGCTAACCGATTCGTCATCCTTTCGTGTTATACCTTATCTGGACTGTAACAATTTGACTAGCTAATGCTACCTTGGCTACTTGAGATACCGATGACGAGATTATGGCAATTCGAGGTGCGAGGGCTTTACGAAGCCCATGGTGGCTCTGAGCATCTCCTATGCGCCTTGCCTCTTAAACAACTTGCCTTGGAAATGTTTGTTACTAAGTGAAATTGATTTCACTAGACGTAACTCATTCCAGGGGGGCCTACGTCCCTTGCTAACGCAGAAAATCTAGATAACCCAATATACTAATCGAGAAAGTATGACGTGCTCCGCATGTTGTGATTGCAAAAAAAAGTATACGGCAGAAGTCCTGGATAAGTGAACGCGCAGAACGTTCATTCATTAAATTATATAGACGCCGAAGAAGATGCCACTGTGGAAGGCATGAAATATAACAATGACGAGACATCATATTTTGCATTTCTGTAAAACACCGACAAACGAGAAACGCGCAAAAGCTTAAAAAGAAACATTTTCTTTATTTATATGGCCTCTGTGTGACCGTGTAACCTGTGTCGTTGGTGAGATCCATCGAATGAAAATTACGCAGATATTAAAAATCAGAACGGAAGTCGCTTATCGATAAAAGTGACACCGGGATGATTTTTTTAAAAAAGTCTTTTCTGGGCGGCGATGCGTTCGGACATTGGAGAAGTTAAGCACTGTAAAAAAAACCTATAATGCTTGTTCGAAACAGTAGAGGTCTACCATATTTCCAACTTACACGGTATTCTGACGGATTAAACGGATACAGTCTTTAAATGGAGCATCGTTTCAATTCAACAAAATCAAATCTGTTGAAGTATTTGAGAAATCACGATAATAACGGCAGACCAGTTCTCTACTTAATATTTTACTCCAATTCGTTGATTATCCAAAACGTAGGCTGAACGAACTTGCTTGTGAAGGCAACGTATTTCATCTAGAAGCTTATACAAATTCATTCCTTCGAGCCGTCGAACTGGAAAAGTTTAACGCTGCGTCATCGCTATCTACCGTCATACACGACGAGAGCGATATATGTTGTTACGAATTAAACTATATCGCAAAATAAAAGTCGGCAACCCCACCATAATTTGGTCTGTGGCAGTCAAAAGTAACACGCACATTTGGCGTCACTGGACACGGGTATGACGTGAGCATGGACCCAGCAGATGCATTCATTTTCTGAGGCACGACGTACGACGTATTTTTCTGTTGTATTGATTTCTGTCTTCATTGTCTGCCTTTGTTTCCTTGTTGTTTGAAAAGCACCCTAGACACCCTAATAACCTTACACCTGCCATGCACAATATCGGAATCGTTGTAGTTATCCGTCGATGAAGCCACGCATCACTCAGTCCTTCTATGTGCGGTACACGGCAATCGAGACAAATACGATAACATCGGTAACTGAACATATGTTTTGGTCAATGAGAATCTAATGTTGTTGCATAATTTAGTAAACCAGTAGCTCTTTATATGTAAAGAAGGAAATCGATGTTTTAAACGAAGTTTTCTTTTGCTATCTTGCTCTCTAACATACGCCCTAGTTATTGCGGTGGTTTTTACAACAGATCTGGTGAAACTCAACGTATTGAAAATGCGAGAGATTTACTTAATTAACTTAAAGCAATTCAACATTAGACATATATATTGACAGTATTCATTTAATGTTTAAATATAGGAATTATTAAAATTATATGAACTGAAATTTGCTTTAGGCAACCGTTAACGTAGATCGTTTCTAAGGAAAACATTTCTTTGTCTCACAGAAACAGTGTTTTACTTGAGAAGTTTTAGTTGGAAAAGTGTTCTTCAAAGTTAGAATTAACTTAATAAGATAGAATTATCTTATTGAAGTAATCGTAATTGAACAAAAAGTAACACATTTATCAATGACACTGTTTAGTCCATAGTAACCGTTTCGATGTTCTGCAACAATACGATTTCCTTCTTACACAACAAACACGATCATACGATGCCTTAATCGTTCAACATATATACGTTACTATATATGTCCAGTGAGTTGTGCTTTAAGACATATTGATTCTTTGAATTAGTTTGCAAAGCTAGCCTTAAGAGGCTAAAACTAAAGAAATGTTTAACTAGAAGTGATGACATGGCACCATATTAGATGACACTTTATGGTGAAAACATCAACCTTCTTTTAGCTACGTGTATATCGAATACCTCTAATACAATCAAGCAAATGACATGAAAGTAAATATGTTTAGGTAAATAACCACATGCATATTAACTCGGGTAGCACTTTAGTACTGCTACTTCTGGATGAGATAATTAGGAATCTAGATAAGTGAACTACGTAATAAAAAAGTGTTATGGTATTTTTATGGTAGTCCCTATAAAGATAGTAATAGCATTGATTATCGAATTTAGTAAGTTTTATACATTTCTATTTACAAAAACTTCTGGATACTTTTTATTTATAAGTCGCCGGTCGACAAGACTCTTGCCGTTCTTATAGAGCAAACAGCCATATGAAGTTAAGTAAGAAAACTACGATTAACTTTTATTTATTTCTGGTTCACAATTTTGTTCGAAATATTAATAACTCCGCTGTTATTATGCTTCAAAGCAGTTTTGAGTATTTGGAAGAACCTTGAAAAAAATTGCTGGAGTAATATTTAGGTCAGATTAGCAA